CACACACACACACTGGGACAGCATGTGAGAAAAGGTCGATTATTTATTGTGGGTTCTCCGAGCCCGTAGGCTCGACCCAAAAATATGCCCATTGAACCCGTATAAACGGGCTCAGGGCCGGTTTACCTCCCCGAACGAGATTCCGCCCCTCGGTGCAGCCTCGTTCGGGTTCTTCCCCGACCGAAGGCAGAGAGTTCAACCGAACAGTCGCTTCAAAAGTGAACGACTGACGATATTCAGTCTCCCCCACCCACTGGGGCAACATGTGACACAAGGTCGGTTATTTATTGTGTGTTTTCCGAGCCCGTGGACTCGGCCCAAAAATATGCCCATTGAACCCGTATATACATGCTCAGGGCCGGTTTACCTCCACGAACGAGACTCCGCTCTTCGGCGTAGCCTCGTTCGGGTTCCTCCCCGCCCGAAGGCAGAGAGTTCAAACGAACAGTCGCTCAGGAAGTGAGCGAATGACGATATTCAGTCACCCCCACACACACACACGAGGGTGTCATGTGGCACAAGGCCTTTTTAACTTGGGCATTCCCGAGCCATTAGGCTCGGCCAAAATAGCCCATTTGAACCCGTATAAACGGGTTCAGGGCCGAGCTTTACCTCCCGAAAGAGACTCCGCCCTTCGGCGTAGCCTCCTTCGGGTTCCTCCCGCCCGTAGGAAGAGAGTTCAAACCCAGCAGTCGCTTCAAAAGTGAACGACTGACGATATTCAGTCACCCCCCCACGAGGGTGTCATGTGGCACAAGGCCTTTTTAACGTGGGCATTCCGAGCCATTAGGCTCGGCCAAAAAATAGCCCATTTGAACCCGAATAAACGGGTTCAGGGCCGGTTTTACCTCCCCGAAGAAGACTCCGCCCTTCGGCGTAGCCTCCTGCCCGTAGGAAGAGAGTTCAAACCCAGCAGTCGCTTCAAAAGTGAACGATTGACTCCCTGCCTACTCCTGAGGCGCAGTAAGTATGGAATAGTCCATTAATATTATTATGGGTAAGATCCCATAACAGATAGATATTAGTATATGTTTGAATACATTAGGTGGGTGATTTGAGTTTTTGTTATTGTTTGTTTTCTTATATTGTTTTTATGTATTTTTATTTAGATTAAATCTAGAAAATGTACTATTTTAGGTTATTCTTAATATTTCTATTATTTGTTTTCTTATTTTTTCTAATTTTCTATCATTGCAATTTCTTATAACTGTTAGACCATCACCACTATATAAGCCTATACCTTTGTTATTAATTACATCTGATAAATTATGCATAATGAATATTCCCCCAAGTTCCATCATAACTACCTATTCTTACGTCAAAGTTATTTATATTGTGGTTTTTAAACATATTCTATTTTGGAATTATAATAGTGATTTTTTAGAACGTTCAATTTTATGTTATTCTTTTTCTTGAATATTTATGTATTGTTTAGCTATATCCAACACTTTATTTAATATATTTTCTGAAATTTATGGATAAAATTTTTAATTTCTACTTTTATATTAGTGCAGCTATTTTTGTTTGTAATATTGTTAAACAAATTGATGATCTCTTTTGTATTCTTCCATTGATTTATATTTAATATTTTTCTTAATTTTAAAAATATTTTTCTTTTATTTATTTCCTCATTTTTCCTATATTGCTTTTTGTAGCTTTTAATAATCTACATGTAGGTTTATTCTTTAAAAAATCCTTATAATCTTTTAGTTTAATAAATGTTTCGATTTTAGTTAACTGTCTTATTCTTTGATCTAATTTTAATTTTGCTTCTTCATTTACGCTATATTCTGATTCATTGTTAGTGGCTTTATAAACTTTTATGTTCCTCTTTTTCGATTAGTTCATTATAATTAATATGATCCATTTTATATATTGTGTTATGGTCCAGGTTAGGACCAAGGAAGAACAACAGGAACACAAGAGTAGAAATAACGAAGGTATATTACACGAAATAATAATACAAGATGTGGAAGGTGTCAATATGACTGTCAGTCTGGTTGGGAGTGAACAACTTAGTATATATAGTGTTAGGAAGAGTTCATTCTGTAGTTATATGTAAGGACCCATGACATATTGGTTTTGATTTGTCTGCTTGAATAATTAGTTTATTTAATTATTTATTCATTTAATGTCGTTACATAATTGTTTTTTAAATTAATTATTGTTATCTATGTTATATATATATATATATATATATATATATATATATATATATATATGTACCTTTGTTAATATATGCGGAGAGAGAGAGAGACATTGAGACAATAAATGTGAATATAAGAATCAGCACTGCTTGCTGAATGTTTACCGTTCCAATTCTATATTCAGACTCTAAAGATAATATTGGAAAGTGAAACTCTTATTAATTCTTTGTCTAAATTTGAAGTAAGCAAATCGTTAATTAAAATAAATCCATTAATTATTTATATGAATGTTTCCCAGACATATTTAAATATTACCTGCTACTTCCTTACACCTGACAAGTAACTAAGCAATGAGAAATAGACAAAAACGACATAACATTAAACTGCGTCCTCTTTTTTTTTATCATTTTTTATCATTTCTATCTTGATCTTTGAGAAAGGTTTAATAAAGTGAAACATGTTAGATTAAGATGTGTTTCCTACTTGCTCTTTATCCTATCATATATATATATATATATATATATATATATATATATATATATATATAGCACACATATATAAAGAGAGGGAGAGAGAGTGTGAGGGAATGAGTGAGATTGAGATTTGTATGTATGTATGTATATATTCATCACTTACTCAGTCTAAGTGCGTACGTGTGTTAGTGAATGAAAAGGAAGTAATAAATATACTAATAAATAAAATAATAATAATAAAATAAAGAATTTCATTTATCCATAATGCAGAGGGAAATCAAAAATGATATATACTCATATATGGAATTTATGGCGTCACTTCCGTAAAGCAGGTAATTATTCGCTTCTCACTTCCTAACCACTGAGTTCGGATGAGTTTCTCTATAACTTCGTATTTTTATATCTAAGTGCGCCCATAAACATTAGTCAAATATTTTCTAATGAAGTCTTCATTTTTTTTTATTGCGGTCCACCGACATTCAAATTCTGTTTTAGTCAAATACCAAACACTTTACGATTGATGATCCTGACGTGATATGAACACGCAGAACTAAAACTCAACTATAGGCACTTTCTTAAAATCGACAACCAGTGAAAAAGTAAGTCAATCAAATCTACCTACCATACCGCGCAGGAGAACACAAGACATGAGTTAGAAAATATAAATATTTGCCTTCCACGTGTCTTTACAATAACAAAATTATGAATATTTGCCTTGCCATGTTCGCTAAAAAAACTGAATATTTGCTTTGCCAAAAAACAACAAATATGTAAAACGAACATATTTAAACTATCAATCTTGCTACAAATGGATGAAATACATGACATCATAATAGCTACATTTAAAATTCCTGAATTTATGCTTCGAATAAGAGGTTTGCAAAAGGAGAAATGTACCTAATGAAGAAAATATTTCGCCTGTCATCGCTGTCACTGGAACTCAATTATTACTTCCAAAATCACTCATAAAAGATAATAGTTCCACCGTTACCAAAAAATAAAACACTAAGCAATTTTTTGAAAAGATGACTAAGCTGAACATATCACTGCTTTATGAAGGACCGTTGCACCCAGCTAAGCAATCCTCCTTACTCTGGATACTATAAAGTAATTACCAGACATGAATAATACATTACAACAGAAAATTTCCCTGGAAATCTCTGCAGAATCTCTATTGAGATTTAATACCAATGACACTACAAAACCACACGCTCAGGAAGACGACTATCATTTTCTGAAAAGAACAAATTTATATATCTCTAGTAAATAATGTATTTATACAGCTCCGCTTCTGGATGGGGATGTATTGTGGGAGAATGAAAAGAAAATAATCGATGAAATAATAAATAAAATAATAAAGCCAAAATAAATAATGTTACTTTAAAATAATGCAAAAGGAAACCAAAAAGTGTTTTAGGGTCACGTGTGGATTTTATGCCCCCCCCCCGCCAAAAAAAATCGAGAAAGATGATCGTTCTCTTCTCACTTCCCAACCACTCATTTCGGATGTGCTTGGTAGCCGTTCAAACGAGGGCGAGATTCGGCCGCCTCACTCAGCGTCGAGCTAACTTGAAGCCGACCTTTCTCTGTCCCTCCGCTTCTTGTATCTATGTACAGGGTGACCCAACAATCCAATAAAACCAAGAGTGATGGAAGGAAACTAGTTTATTCATAGTAATTGAAACCTTAAAATATGCCATTTAAGAAACAATGATGGAATTTTCATTTTTTAAAAATTACGTCCTGTAGATGTCGTCCTCCTGTACGAATGCATTCTTGAAATCTGGTGTTGAGATTCCTCATTGACTGCTGCAACATCTCAGCTGGGATACTGTGAATTTCATCTTGAATTCTAAATGGCGAAATGTTTACTTGCTCAAGGTCACTGCCTCGCAGTGTTGCCACTTGTTCATGTCGGGCAATGCGCACTTCAAAAATTCCCGTTTTTTGGGGTCACCCTATATATCAATGATCATTGGCCATTCATTTTTTAAGGAAATCTTATTTTTTTTTTATTGTGGTCCACCGACATTCAACCTCTGTTAGCGCCACGGAGTTAAATACCAAACACTCTACATGCGTCCATTTGCCTGTATGTGTGTGCAGTGATATCATATATTGTCATAATATCTATTTTCTTTTCTACGCGCAAAGATCCCATAGGAACGATTTTGTCACATGACTGGAATCTCGAAGCCTACTTGGCTCCTCTTTATTAGGTTACGCCTGAAGACACAGTTAAGGAGTAAATGCTATCCTAATCTTGGATCACAGGCCGACATAATACACACCTTGATCCGAAGCAGAAGTACCGAGGAGCAACACTGTGATCCTAACAAGAGCACACAGATAATCTGATCCACGGTAAACTTCTGATCTAATGATGTTTGATATCTATCTATCTATCTATCTATCTCAGTCTGTCCACATCTATCTATCTATCTATTTCAGTCTGTTCATATGTATCCCTGTAAGGTGTTTTGTCCTTTAGGACTTCATTGGACTATTTTTTTTTATGTTGGTGTGTAAAAAATGTTGGTGCTTAAACGTAATGTGTTTATTATGTGAGCCATGATGTTTGCCCTTTTTAGAGTTTAATAAGTTTGTTGGACAAATGTTTTTTTTTTCTTTTTTTTATATCAATGGCAACGAAAGAAGAAAAGCCAAAAAAGAAAATGCTGCCAACTTCTGTACTGTGATCGGAATGCACGATAGATTATAAAACATCTAGACAGCTATCGTGACAACCATGTTTAAGAAAGACGAAAATAAAGATCGTGGGCGCCAAAGCCAAAGGACACACTCTGTGATCTGACAATACACAGAATAGGTTGAGCTTTCTCACAAATCGGTGAGAAATTTGATAACAAAAGAATATTTTCTTGCTCTTTCCTTCTTTCGTTTCCTTTGTAATTCCATTATATAAAGCATCTTTCTATTAAACTTTATGAAATATCTATATCAATATTGTAGTTTTCATTTATCATACTATGCAAGGTGTGCTTCAGGAACCAAAAAGAAAAAAACAAAAGAGATTCACCCATCTTAATAATTTAAAGGGGTAAAGAAGTAACAAAACCCAAGACAGAAAAATTGTCAATTTTTTGCCTTCAGGCGTTTCAAAATTTTCTTTCTCCTATTTTCGTTTCCGTTTAATTTTTATTTTCGCTCTTTTACATATACTTTCTCACTTCTTCATATCTCCTGATTTTCACTATCTATCTATCTATCTATCTATCTATCTATCTATCTATCTATCTATCTATCTCAATTTGTCCACATCTGCCTATCTATCAATCTATCGATTTCAGTCTGTCCATATCTATTCATGTAAGACGTTTTGTCCTTTACAACTTCATCAGCCCAATTTTGTTATGTTGGTACGACTACACATGCGCACGAACGAGGGATGCTGGGAATTTTTTTTTTTATATCTGATTTTATTTAAAGTATTTTTATTTTTGCTTCAATTATTAAATTAAATGTTTCCATATTTAAATTTATCAGTATCCCACTTTTGCACCAACAACAAATTTAGTCCAACGATGTCCAAAAGGACGAAACGCGTCAGACAAATATTTCTTTCACTTTCTCTTACATCCTTTCCCATTATTGTTCTTGTTATATAAAGATTTATATATCATTATCTTATATCTGTCTATTTATCTATTTTTTCTCAGTGTACATATATTAGACTGTTTTTAGACAGCAATATTTTGATTCTAGAAAGACAGGACAGAAATCATATCGTAGACAGAAGTACTCATCCTGAGTAAATAAGTTTTTACTACAAGCAAAGCAATAAAAGACATTAAAATCATGATTCAAAAGTCGATTGATGAAGAGCGTTGCATTTAAATTGTAGTCGACAGTAAAGCAAGAAGACGAAAAAGAGTTTCCCAAACGTAAAGTTGGAGAGAAGTAACTCTCACCATAGAACTTACGGTTACATCAAACTATTTCATCAGTGAAATGGTTAAACTTACTTGCCAATCTCGTATAATGTAAATCTAAATACTATCTAATATCTTCTTCCTTTCCAACTTGAAAGGATTCTTCTGTAGTCCCAATTTTTAAGAACACATGTGAACCATCTGGACCTTCTAATTACCAATCTATTAGTTTTCTAATTCTCAAATTAAAGGGTCTTCTTTCGGATAAGCAACTTTCACTTTTCTGAGTATTAATGATTATTGCTGAAAGCGTCTATCAAACTTTAGATCAGAAGAGTGATGCTCAGGCTTTGCTTTATCTTGAAGGGATTTAATATGGCTTGGTATGTTCGTATTCTTCACAAGTTGAAAGGTTATGGTATTTAAGTGATTCAGTGTGTCTTATCAAATCCCTACATGAAAGTTTTCTTGAATGGCCACTCTTCTAGAGTTTTTTGCATTAATGCAAGTCTTCCTCAAAGTTCCATACTTAGACGTAAGTTGTTCCTAATGTTCATCGCCGACCTTCCTGGTATTATTAGTTCTCAACTAGATATCTATGCTAAGGACAGACAATTTACTCCTATGTTCATAGTGAGTCTTATTGGTTCGATAAGGTCAAACTAGCAGTTGATCTAAAAAAAAAAATGATTTAGGATCATTTGTTAACTGGGGCAAGGAATGGCTTGTCAATTCGTCTCCGAAATGAAACTATTATCTTTTAAAATTCTAAAAAAAAAAACTTTATGCCTCCCATCAGCATGGCTGACGCTAACCTCTAAGAAAGTAACTCATTACGCCGTCTCGGTTAACGTTTTCCGCTTACATGAATTAGAAAGATTATGTTAAGTCAACTGCTTTAATTTGCTCCTAGGAAAGTTGGTCTATTATGTCGTGCGAGACAATTTTTCTCTGCAAAATTTACCTGACAACTTTATAGATCTAACATTCTTCCTTGCATTGAATATTACTGCCACATCTGGTGTGGGGCTCTCGTTATATTTATATATATATATGTGTGTGTGTGTGTGTGTGTGTATGTGTGTGTGTGTAAAAAATATATAGAAAATAGGAAAGAACTCTTTAGGTAAATAATCCAAAGTTCTTTAGTATTTTTGTTATTATTTTTAAAAAATAGTGCTCGATACAAAAGTAGAGCATAAATATAATTATTTATTTAAAAATATGATTTCAACGCTACATGTTTCAAAAGAAAGGCCGAAAAGTTCAATATAAGTATTTGAATTAAATTGAATTAAAGTACCAAGCTCTGTTCCATCTTCAAACGAAATCTTTTTGGGAATAACTTATTCCTGATATTTACGCGTTTTATAAGCATATTCATTATTAAAATTAAAATTACTATGGTAAAGGCTAGAGCAATTGTTTAAAGAAAAGGGACGTAAGTGTTAATAATTTGTATCAATATCTCAGTTACATTCAAAGACGTCAAGTCAGGGTAAGATTGGGGGTGTCTTAATTTAAAGCGGAAGATGACATCGTCTAGTCTGGTTAAGTGTCTATAGAGATTTATTTATTTCTTTTTTTCTGAAAGGGTTTTGTGTATATAAAAAAATCTGTCCTAAGTCGCTAAGATTGGTTTTTTGACGACTTCATAAAGGGTTATCTTTTTTTTGTAAGGCATTTAATCTATTTATTTAGACTATGGAATTAAAAATTATTTTATTGTTTGTTTGTTTTATGCTAATTATTCAATGCGGAAATTTGATATATGTCGGCAAAAAAAACCCCGTTAACTCCTGTCTATTGTTTAATAAATTTTCATTATTTAGAAACTTAATAATGTGTAGTTTTTCATGTAGGCATAAAGGGCATGGGTCATTCCAAGTTTTACAAGTTCTAGTTTTGTTTATAATTTTCAATTTTACTTTTGGTGTTTTATTCATTTCCTTCAAATGCCAAAAATATTTAGATAGAGATGTCTGATTTCTTTTATTTATATTGCTGAAGGAGTACTTATGCTGCCTCCATCTGGTTTTAAATTCATTCTTCGTAGACCCAATATATATCATATTAGTATTAGGACTTTCAATGGATGAGATAGTACATTGGTATACCACAGATTTTTACATTTATTTTCCAATGGGCAGTCTCCTGGGTACAATCACTTAATTTTTCACTATTTTTGTCTAATTTAAGTATAGGGTTTTTATTAATACTATTCTGGCATGGGGGTTTATTCAGGATTTTATTATTGTGGTTTTTTATTATACTTTCTAGATTTTCAGTGCAGCTGTAACTTAATTCTAGGGTGTTTTTATTAAATATTTTACTAAGTCCACTATTGGTAGGAAAGTGTTTTTCAATTAAAGCTAGGAATTTCTGTTCTACCTTAATACTAACCATTTGGATGAACGGAGGTACAATCATGGCTAAAACAATTCTGATTTGCAAGACGTTTATTTTTAATACTTGATATCATTTGCAGTTCGCAGATGGCTTCGGTATATGGAACAGCTCAGGCGCTAAGGAAAATAGTTTGTCTTTGAGTAGGAACTCAGATATGACTCGGTCATCTAAGAACAGAACAAGATAATAATAATAATAATAATATTAATAATAATAATAATAATAATAATAGTCTTAACCATTGCTCAACTATGCAAAATGAAACTGACAATGTTGGATGAAGCAACTCGATACCTAATGACTTTGCATTCAACCTCCGTCTAATATATGTGTAATGAGAAAAATGAGGGAAGGAATGATGTCAGTATTTAAGAGTTTGTGGAATGGGTTTAGATAATTCCGAGCTAATGAAGATAGAATGAAATGAGAAAGATGCTGTCTAAGAATGAATATATTCGATTATAAAAGCCCAAACTAAAGTATAGGAGGAAAAATATTCCAAGAATATTTCAAGAGAAAACTGAAAATATTTATAGACAAAAGGAAACCGAATAAGCAAAATCCAGCATAGGCATAGAACAATAAAATAGCAAAACCCACGGAACGGAGACATATTGGGAATTGTGCAAATCACTAGTGCTTGACAATCTTGGCCATAGGAGGAATCTAAAAATTGACCCCATTCTTGAAAAAAGGGAAGAACTAAAATTCGAGGAGACTTCAAATGTTTTAATTAATCTAGTAAAGGAATCTGGGTTTAATCTCAAAGTGTCACGAAAAGGTAAATATATAAAACTTAATATAGAAATATAGATTTTTCGAAAATGAAATTGACTGGTGCATTGAATGAATACGGAATACTGCAATTCGTGTGAACATGAAAAATAAGATTTGTTAAGCTTTCTTATGTTCAAATGAGGGTATTAACTAGAACTTTGTTGAGACCATGATTCAACAATGATACTAATAATGATATTAGTACATTTAAGTTCATAGTCATATCGCAGTTCCTATCCGCAAATTAGTAACACAACACTTTGCTTAACATGTAACCTGTTCCAAGCATCGCTGATACCTGCACATTCCTAATGGTATCAAGTGTTTGGTCTTCACTTCCATCCCACTTTTTTTTTTTGCAAGGGGTAGATGTTTATCTATTATTTCCTTTTTAGAATTGGGTTTCCGGTTCCTTCTAAAATCTTTTTCATTCTCTTTCACTCCTAGTAACCGCTTGTGTCTTAGTTGCATTATCGCCTTACTTGGGGTGAATTGATTAAGAAAAATCCCAAATGTGACTAGCAAGACAGAGACAAATTCTTGGAAATCACTAAATACAACCAATAGGCAAGTTACTAAACTTAATTTTGCCAGACACAAGACCAGATTACCTCCTTGAAGACCGAACTTACGAGTCAAACAAATTGGTTTACGGTACACGTTTCATAAAATAGTAATTGTTCTGGCACAAATGTAATATTTCAGATCAAACTCCGAATCGTCAGAGAGGTGATCTTGTTCGATGTTATGCTGAGCCAGTCACTCTGGTGAATATTAATTCATTAAAAATGTTTTTAAAATCTTAATTTTGGCTGATGAAAGACTATAGTAGCGAGATAGTCTTCGAAAAAGTATAATTCGTTTTCATGACGACCTGACTAAACGTTAAGTCGAAATTATCAATTGATAACTACTTTGTTTAATTTAGCAGACGCACAAATCAGAATGCTCCTTTGAAAGATCGAACTCACAAGAGTGAGCGCGGTTCTTCCAATCGATCTAACTTAACCTCACTTTTAGAAACTCCAAGAACATCTCACCCACGTTTATCGTTACTTATGAGTTGTGCCAATTTTGGAGAGAGGTATCAGCATTGCATACGTATTTTCTTTTATTGTCGACAGATTTGATTAATATGACTGCAAAATTTGACTTTATTGGCCAATCGTCCACTGGGAAATATGCGGACAATTCCCAAAGCTGATCAAATCTATAGATTCGGTAGGCGAAC